ATTTATTTGTTTTCGACATTGTTTTTCTTCAGCACACCGTATTTATACTCAAATAAACAGTTAATAAAACATGCAGATTATATAGAATGAGGTGAACAATAATAACTCACCGTGTTCCAGATCCTGCTGGTCATACCACGGTTCCTCTTCTTTCATATCAAACTCTCCTTCTATCATGTCTGTGAGCATCTTTACACAGTCGAGCTTATAGTTTTGTTTGTAAAATTAAGTCGATGTTTTCTCCGCAAATGTAAAGGATCTGCGCTTGTTTTTAATGTTCAGACTGATTTCATTAACTCGCAGCCTACTGTAATCAGTTAGAACTGAGTGCGTGTTCTTGTGTCATCGGCCGCGCGCAGGAGGAATGACGTATGAACGCGCCTGGTTACTGCAGGTGCGCGCAAAAAAATATACAGCGTAACCTATGAGCGCAACCTGCATACAATCTCGAGGGATTTTTTATTTTTAGCTCTGCATAGACGATATATTCTGCCTTATGAAGGGTTTATATATGACTCTGTTAGAAAAAAAATACTAAATGGTAGAAAACCTTACTTAAAGTACTGGAATTAAAGGTCATGTGAAATTAAAATATTTTTAACACATTAGTATCAGTATGATAGTTATATAAGTATATATTTATAATCTAGTGTGCTGTAAATGATATAAACCTGGTATAAACTCCAGAGATAGATAGATAGATAGATAGATAGATAGATAGATAGATAGATAGATAGATAGATAGATAGATAGATAGATAGATAGATGTAAATAATATTTAACAGAAAAAAGAAACTAAATAGTGAATAAATGTTATTTTTGGGGGGTGAGCTGTCTCTTTAAGAGCCCAATTTTAGTAAACGCACGCCTCCTGCTGGTCACAATGCGCGTGACCGAGCACGTGCTTTGACGGTCGGTCTCTTTTCAGTGTAACACCATGAGGAAGTGAATTGTCTTTTTTTCCAGCTGATCTGTGTGTCAGATGTGTTTGTTGTCTACTCTATCCTCCAGACAGACAGATGATGAGTGTGTGAACAGCCCCCCGCCTGCAGGTTTGTGTGTGGATGAACGTTCAGTCATTCGGTCGCTGATGTTTATTATATCTCTGTCGTGTCTTCAGCAGATGAGGAGGCTGGTCTTCGTCTTCTGGCTGCTGTTTTATGTGTGGTTCCTGCTGTCCATCAGGAAGATGTGGACAGGTCGGTATGTTCGCAGTCCTCTGGCCAGATCTCTCTTCATGAACATGCTGTCAGACACCGAAACGGCGGACTATGGGGACCAAAAGGTGAGAAAACTGCTGAAAATGAACTTAATTTAATTTTGAAAGATAAAATACGATGAGTATTTAATCAAAAATATAGTATATCTACATCTAAAACAGATTTATCCACATTATAAAGAGAATTAGTTGTGTTTACACTGTAGTAAAGTGTTGCTGCTAGAAGGGATACAGCTACAGCTGGAAGTTCATTCATTCATTCATTTTCTTTTCGGCTTAGTCCCTTTATTAATCAATGGTCGCCACAGTGGAATGAACCGCCAACTTATCCAGCATATGTTATAAGCTGCAAATGCCCTTCAAGCTGCAACCCATCACTGGGAAACATCTATACACTCATTCTCACACATACACTATAGACAGTGTAGTTCATCAGTTTCCCTGTAGTGCATGTGTTTGGACTGTGGCCCTAAGACATTGACTGTGTGCAGGGCCGGCGCGTCCATAGAGGCGACCTAGGCGGCGTCCCCGAAACTCCCTCGCCACCAGTGCCCTCAGTTATATCCACGTCTAGGGCGGCAGAATAGAGAGGGCGGCGTCCCCGAAACTACCCTCGCTACCCGCGCCCTCAGTTATATCCGTGTCTAGGGTGGCAGAATAGAGGGCGGCGTCCGCGACTCTACCCTCACCACCCGCACCCTCAGTTATATCCACGTCTAGGGTGGCAGAATAGAGGGAGGCGTCCGCGACACTACCCTCACCACCCGCGCCCTCAGTTATATCCACGTCTAGTGCGGCAGAATAGAGAGAGCGGCGTCCCCGACACTACCCTCACCACCCGCACCCTCAGTTATATCCACGTCTAGGGCGGCAGAATAGAGAGAGTGGCGTCCCCGACACTACCCTCAGCACCCGCGACCTTAGTTATATCCACGTCTAGGGTGGCAGAATAGAGGGCGGCGTCCGCGACACAACCCTCACCACCCGCGCCCTCAGTTATATCCACGTCTAGTGCGGCAGAATAGAGAGAGCGGCGTCCCCGACACTACCCTCAGCACCCGCGACCTCAGTTATATCCACGTCTAGGGTGGCAGAATAGAGGGCGGCGTCCGCGACACTACCCTCACCACCCGCGCCCTCAGTTATATCGAAGTCTAGTGCGGCAGAATAGAGAGAGTGGCGTCCCCGACACTACCCTCAGCACCCGCGACCTCAGTTATATCCACGTCTAGGGTGGCAGAATAGAGGGAGCGGCATCCCCGACACTACCCTCAGCACCCGCGACCTCAGTTATATCCACGTCTAGGGTGGCAGAATAGAGGGTGGCGTCCGCGACACTACCCTCACCACCCGCGCCCTCAGTTATATCCACGTCTAGTGCTGCAGAATAGAGAGGGCGGCGTCCCCGACACTACCCTCACCACCCGCGACCTCAGTTATATCCACGTCTAGGGTGGCAGAATAGAGAGGGTGCCCCCCCTTCCACCCCCGTTTATGGTTGAGGGCGGCATGACCTTGCCTAGAGCGGCACTTCAGCTTGTTCCGGTCCTGACCGTGTGTGTGTGTCCGCAGTGGTACCGCTGCTGTCCGGATCTGCTTGGAGAAAGCGTGAGCTCTGTGTTCGTTCAGAGTCATCTGGATGAGGAAACGCAGGCGTTTCTACAAAGGAGCGTCGAGAAGTCCAGCTGGATCTTCACTCAGCTTTACCACTCACTGTTCTCCAGCATCTTCAGCCCCATCATCTCCCGCACATCCATCAACGGGTAACACACACACACAGTCAGCTTCACGACTCGCTGTTGTCCAGCATCTTCAGCCCTCATCTCCTGTATATACACATGTATATGCACAGTGTTATTATTCAAAACTCTTTACTTAAAGTGTTTGTTTTTTTTAAATATAATTAGACAACAATAATTATCTAGAAGATTCTGTGTATATTCTGTGATGGCACTCGGCTGGATGTACATTATCCCTTGTTTTGGTGTGTGTCTGCAGGTTTCTGGGCCGCGGCTCCATGTTCGTGTTCTCCAGGGATCAGTTTCGGCGTCTCCTCAGGATCGGGCCGGACTGGAGAGCGCAGCGGATGCTGGATCTGGGAGCCGGAGACGGAGGCGTCACTGAAGTCATGGGTTCACACTTTCATGAGGTCTACGCTACTGAGGTCTCCACACCCATGAAGTGGCATCTACAGCGCAAAAACTACAGGTAAAGACATCTCCTGTCTCCTGTATCCGCATTATCCACAGTGTAGGGTGGTTACTTTTAAAATGTATTTGATTATAGACAGGGCCGGCGCGTCCATAGAGGCAACCTAGGTAGACGCCTAGGGCGGCAGAATAAAAAAGTAAAAAGGCCGGTGTCCCCGACACTACCCTCATCACTCGCACCCTCAGTTATATCCGCGTCTAGGGCGGCAGAATAGAGAGAGCGGCATCCACAACACTACCCTTACCACCCGCGCCCTCAGTTATATCCGCGTCTAGGGCGGCAGAATAGAGAGGGCGGCGTCCCTGACACTACCCTTACCACCCGAGCCCTCAGTTATATCCGCGTCTAGGGCGGCAGAATAGAGAGGGCGGCGTCCCCGACACTACCCTCACCACCCGCACCCTCAGTTATATCCGCATCTAGGGCGGCAGAATAGAGAGGGTGGCATACCTGACACTACCCTCACCACCCGCACCCTCAGTTATATCCGCGTCTAGGGCGGCAGAATAGAGAGAGTGGCGTCCCCGACACTACCCTCACCACCCGCACCCTCAGTTATATCCGCGTCTAGTGCGGCAGAATAGAGAGAGTGGCGTCCCCGACACTACCCTCACCACCGGCGCCCTCAGTTATATCCGCGTCTAGTGCGGCAGAATAGAGAGAGTGGCGTCCCCGACACTACCCTCACCACCGGCGCCCTCAGTTATATCCGCGTCTAGTGCGGCAGAATAGAGAGAGTGGCGTCCGCGACACTACCCTCACTACCCGCGCCCTCGGTTTTATCCATGATCCCGACACTACCCTCACCACCCGCCCCATCAGATTTATCCACGTCTGGGGCAGCAGAATAGAGAGGGTGGCGTCCGCGACACTACCCTCACCACCCGTGCCCTCAGTTATATCCGTGTGTTGGGCGGCAAAATAGAGAGGGTTGGGGTTGAGGGTGGCGTGACCGTCCTTTGCCTAGAGCGGCAGTTCAGCTTGCTCCGGCCCTGATTATAGATTGTTTAACCCTCCTGTAGACCCGAACGTTATAAAAAATTATTTCAATTCACATTTTCCTGAAGGAGGAACACGTTTAAGGTACAACAGTCATCCTTCTGGTCAATTTTGTATTGTATTGACTCAAAAAATTCCATCCATGAATTTTAATTAGCAGTAAATTGCTGCCATTCCTGCATTTTGTCCTGGTAAAGTTGTAATTATACTGTAGTTTTCAAGTATTACTGTGTGAAGGCGCTACTGAGTTTATCATGTGTGTGTGTGCAGTCTGCTGGGTATCGATGAGTGGCAGTGCACCGGTCTCCAGTATGATCTGATCAGCTGTCTGAATCTGCTGGATCGCTGTGACGAGCCGCTGAAGCTCCTGCAGGACATCAGGAGTGCGCTGGTGCCCGAAACGGGACGCCTCATCCTGGCCGCGGTGCTGCCCTTTCAGCCTTATGTGGAGACGGGTAAGAGGAGCACCCAAAGAGGTCATGATTTATAGATCACCATGTCCCAATTGCACGTCTGACACCCAATAAAAGCTCTTTTTTTCTCTGTTCAAACTAAATGTTGTCATCCAAAGCAGCAGCATGTAAAATATTACATGTTTTGAACCCATGGTTTGAAATTAATACTCTTATTACTCGTAGATTAATCCTAAATTTGTAACCATCGCAGAGAGATCGCCTCTCTTATCATTCAAATCACATGTATGAAAGCTTTTAGGCTTTCCTGTTAAATATAATGAAGACAGAAGAAGTTGTGGTGGGTTATTCGGGATGTGGAGGGTTTCTTAGCTTATTAAAGGTGTTTTCTGTCACTGCGCCGGCAGCTAGCTCACATGGTCGCCCACTGAAGCTAAGCAGGGCTGCGCCCGGTCAGTACCTGGATGGGAGACCACATGGGAAAGCTAGGTTGCTGCTGGAAGTGGTGTTAGTGAGGCCAGCAGGGGGCGCTAAACCTGTGCTCAACCCCGGCATCCTGGCCAAATCTGCCCACTGGCCTCCTAACCCTCCCCATATCATAATGGGCTTCATCACTCTGTCTCCGGTCTGCGGTCTGGTGCAAACTGGCTGCTGACGCGTCATCTAGGTGGATGCTGCTCACTGGTGGTGGATGAGGAGATTTCCCCCTATGTGTAAAGCTCGTTGAGTGCCCAGAAAAGCGCTATATATGTAAGGAATTATTATTAGCATAATTAATATTACTTGTTTAGCATTAATGCATTCAGTGTAAGCTGCACGATTAATCATTAAAAGATCGGGATCTCAACACCCACGCAACATACATTATAAATGATGGTGATTTGCATATGTTTATTAATCCTTCCAATCGCTGCATTCAGATCTGTGTTTGAAAAACTCCAAAATCTGGAAAGAGATTCAGTCTTTAGTCTTTTGAGTTGAATATGAAGTTACAAACAGTCAAATAACACAGAAGTTCTGGGAGAACAGCTTATAATTTAGATAAATCCATGTGTTTATGATAAAGATTAAATTCACCATCATATGCATGTTATTACGCCCAAAAATGAAAGTTGTAGGCAGCAATTGCATCATTTAACCAGTAGGTGGCGACAACCAGCCTTCAAAAATACGCCACTGAATAATTCTTCAACAACCCGCTTGTTAAGTGGTGTGTTTGTGACGTATGTAATACTGTTTCCGGGTCCAAGCCGCCATTCATTTGAGTGGAGAAATCATTCGTTTATGATCACGTTTTATTTCTATCACACATTAAAGTTAATTATGAATAAAATCATAGTGTACACAACAATCTCTGGGCTTGCACCATAACAAATATCAAAAATTTAACAGTTTATTTTAAAAAATTATCACTTTCTGGCCATCGGATATTAGGCATGGACATATAAACTGCGATCGTGATTTTCGAAAGCCTTAAATCGCTTTGTAAAAGTTTCTTATTACCATTTCATGAGTCTCCCCATTCAGTTGAATGGAGCGCTTGGACCCGGAAGCCGCTTCGCGTGACGTCACACTTAACATGCAGATGATCATCCAGCAATGAAATGTGAAGTTTAATGAGTGAAGAACTGAATTATTTATTGAAAATGAGACAAAAAATAAATATTATAATTGTACAAATTATAAAGTTAGATTTCTACATTTAGCATGATCAGCAACAGTAGTAACAGTGAATTTTTCACAGCAATGAATATTTATTTTTATTCAGCGGATTATTTCTTCATTTTATTTTGAATAAAATTACAGCTTCTCAGCTCTGTTTGGTAAAACCAAAAGTGTCTTGCAGCGCTGTTTCTGTAATAAATGAAAAGCAAATTAGATTTATCTCCTCCCCTTTTTGGCTGATCCGAAAAATGGTCCGATCCGTTACTCAAAAACCATAATATGATCCGAACCGGGAGATTTGTGATCCGTTACATCACTTATTACCATCATGTAGGACTTTTAGCCGCATTTTGCGACAGGATATTCCACACTCAGGGGTGTTTGGCACTATTCTCTGCACCTACCAAGTCAGGAAAGGACCACAGACACACACATCGCGAAATTCAGAAGCTTTTTTTCTTTCTATTCGGCGTGCGGTATCAAACTCCATTAAAAAAAACACTCTTGCATGACTCCACACTCGCATCCAAAACCTCAGTTTGTCTTGGGTGGGTTGCATGGATAGCCTGAGAAATAATCTGCAGTTGAACTTGTCGTGAAATTTTAAACGAAACACCCAACATCACAATGAACACGAACTGCTGTTGCATAATGTGTGTGTGAATGTGTGTATCTGTGCAGGCGGGTCGTGGGTTCGGCCGAAGCAGCACATCCAGGTTCAGGGGAAGAGCTGGGAGGAGCAGGTGACGCACCTGAGCACGCAGGTGTTCCCGCAGGTGGGTTTGGAGCTGCAGGCCGTCACGCGTCTGCCGTATCTGTGTGAAGGAGACATGTACAGAGATTATTACGTGCTGGACGACGCCGTCTTCATCCTCAAACCACTCAAACACTGACACAAACACTGACTGACAACTCCAACCAAAGGGCTGACGCAACTCAGGAAAACATCAACATTATTCAATCAGAGTCAGGCAGATGACGGACTGCAGAGTTTCCTTTGGGAACGGAATAAAGATTCAGTGGAAACGTTTAGAGAAATCTACTTATTATTTGGTCTAATTACAGGTAAATGATTAGCCCTCCTGTGAAATTTAATATGAATATTTCCTGATAATGTTATCAAATATTTAGGTGCTGTTTAATAAATACGGTTTAAAGAAATTAAAACGCAGAAGTATGGAAAAACATATACCTGTAGTCAACATTTGAAGTTGATTTAAGATATTATTATAGTATAATTAACAAAGTACAAATGTTTATACATTGATCCTGTATGTTACTGATTAAATATCGGTATTGTTCAATACACACTTTTATTTTAAAGGTTTTAATTCTTGTTAAATGTTGATTGCTGAAGTTATTCTGAAGTAATAACTGCAGATCCTCATGGTGTGTGTCTCTAATATGTTATTATTATTGTTACATGTTTTCTGTCAGTCTGAACAGAACTTTTGATGAGTCTGAAACATCGTAGGACCAAGTTAAGACATTATTAAATGATGTCTGCTGTTCATTGCACAACACAGCGAGAGTCTAAACATGCATTTGCAGTATGTAGGTTCTGGTTAAGTTCATGTTTTCCTTGTGTATTAGGTATGTGCTGATTTTATCGATCGTGTGTTCACTGTGCAATAAATCTCCTTGAACTTGATGATGAGGTGAGAGGAACTCGTTTGTTATATAATAAAATCTAGTTTATTAGTTAAATGCTTGTTTTGTTAGACAATTAAATGCATTAAATTGAAAGCCAAAGCTAGCAAATTAAATTATTGTCAGGGGGTTATTCTGCTTTTTTATATAAAGTATTAAAAACGCTGCAACTTTTTTAATAATTTAGAACTTGTATTTTTAATATATATATATATATATATATATATATATATATATATATATATATATATAATTTTTTTTAATGTATGTATATATTTGTAAGTATGTATGTATGTGTACATATATGTGTGTGTGTGTGTGTGTGTGTGTGTGTGTGTGTGTGTATATGTGTATGTATATTATATTTTTATTATATATAGTCTGTTTAAAGAAATTAAATATTGCACAAATAATAGACATAAACGTATTTAAATATGAAGATTTATTTATGTATTTGAAGGAATAAACTGGGTGAAAAAAACATGTATTTAACATATAAATGAATACATTCACAGCCATTTTGTTAAAGAAACATTATTTTGTTTAAACGATTTCTCTTTTTTTATTCTTCATTATATAGTTTATTTACTAATTTAAGTTTTTATGTTTATCTGTTTTGATTTATCTTCTCACCAAGGCTGTTTATTTGATCACAAATAGAGTAAATAGTAATGTGTACACGTAAAATAAATCTAAATATTTTAGCCATGTGAATATACTGTAAATGTTATTTATACCTCGTGATTTCAGTCTTCATTATCACGTGATCCTTCAGAAATCATTTTAATATGGTTAATATATCAATAACGTTGAAAACAGTTGTGGAAATCGCTGACATTCAAACGTTAAGGATAAGTAACGAGACACAATTAACATCACAATACGTTCTATTCATCAACATATGTACATGGTTTAGTCGGTGGAGTTGCTTTAGGGGTGTTTAAATAAGAGTTGTAGCCAAACTTACAGATCCTCATGAGCAGGATCAGCAAACTTCACACCCTTCAAAACTCAAAACAGAAATGCAGAATACAAGAGGAAACTCTAGAAGCTCGATGTCGTCCAGCGCGGGCGGCGATAATAATCACGTGTCATGTGATACTTTTCTTCGCGTTGTTCAGGTTGAGCCAATCGGAGTCGAGCGCGGTTACTGGTTAGAAAGTAATTTTATTAAGATCACTTACTTTTCTTTTTATTAGACTGACTTGCATTTATATGTCACATAACATGCTTGAAATTTATATATGTGACCCTGGAGCACAAAACAAGCTTCATGATGCACTGATAATATTTTAGCTATATCCAGAAATATATAGGCCTATATGCGTCAAAACCAAAGTTCAAAACGATTATTGTTTAACATTATCACATAAAAATAATTTTCTATTATTATTTTCTGATGTCCAACTGTAAATACATCACAACTTAATTTTTAAAAACTCTCTCAACTTTATTTACAGATTATTTTTTACCTTCTTAGACTAATAGTAATATCTCCATATAGCCATATTGCTTATTTATCATAACAAATCATACATCAATGAACCTTTATTTATTCAGCTTTCTGTTGATGTGTAAATCTCAATTTAAACTTGCAAGAATGCACACTTATGACTGATTTTGTGGACCTGGGACTTGTGAACATAGTTATACTATTGATTAGTTTATACATCCTATAGGACATTTTGCACATTTAATTGACAAAGTCTCACAAATAATCATTCAAACATAATAAAGGACATAATGAGCACTAAAAGGGGGCCCAAGGTTGATTAAAAGCCAAATCCAATTCTTAAATATTATTTAAAGTGGATAGTTGGTGTAAATGTATTGTTAACCTCCTTGTCCAATGGGTGAGATGGAGAGTTAATAATACAAGCTGTATTTGTATGAGGTTTAATATATATATAATTCATTATATAAGTATGTGTATATTAGTATTCTGTAATAATTCATACTCTATTTTTTAAGTTGTAAATTGTTGTATTCTTAATGTGCATTGTCACTGTCAAATAAACCTGAAATATAAATAAAAAACTACTAATTTGTAGGGTAGTATTTAAATTTCTTTTTTTTATTCTTAATAATTGTACTAAAAAGTTGTTTTTTTTCATGCAAAATACACTTGACAATTGAAATGAAATTTATTTTTAAGGTTTAATTTGACCAGAAGGGCTAACAGTGTATTTCATTTTAATACAGCTATTTTTTTTATTTAATTTAATTTAATTTAATTTAATTTAATTTAATTTAATTTAATTTAATTTAATTTAATTTAATTTAATTTAATTTAATTTAATTTAATTTAATTGTACACTCAACACTAACTCCCGTTACTTTTTTGAGCCTCCGCGCGCCCCCTACCGCACGCCCCCGCTTTATATTCCTCATCCCGGGTAGTTCTTCTCCAGTCGCAGAGCTCGGCGCTCATCATCCCGCATCAGCCAACCGTAGCCCGGCGTCAGTGTTGGCCACGTCCGCGGGCCACGTCGCTTTTCTCGCCATCTTTCAGTCGGGAAATCCGTGTATTATTGCGCTTTTTCGGGGATCAGCAGCTCCTTGAGGCGCGTTCACCACAACCGACCCACAGAACCATGAATCTGTTCAGACTGACCGGAGATCTGTCGCATTTAGCGGCCATCATCATCCTCCTGCTGAAGATCTGGAAGAGCAGATCCTGTGCAGGTGATTTCAGTCACTCCTCCACTCATAACACCCAATTTAACACTCTTGTTACTAGTGAAAATGCAGCATTCAGTTTCTTTTGGCGGGTTTCATTTGTTTACGTGCTAAAAATACAGTTGGTGTTTCAAAACTAAGCTTAATTTGAGGTTTCCACAGTCATTACTGAGGTAAAGTTGGTTTTACATTCGCTCATTCGTTCATTCCAACAGTGCTTATAATGTTTATCACGCTACTTTTAATATTAAGTCATGTAAATATGACTTTAAAACAACATTAGCGCTGTTTAACTGACTGAATAATGTTTAATAGTTGTTAGTTGCTAATCCCTTACTGGAGTTTTGCACCTCTAATCATAGTTTTACCACTGAGGTAAACTGAGGTCATACAAATGTAAGTCAATATATGTTTACTGTTTTACTAGGTTAATTTTAGGCTATTTTACTAACTTTAAAGGTTAATTGTAGTACGGGGATACCCACTCGTGCACTGCTTAGGGGTAATTTTAAGTGTATGTGTGCTTTGCTATAAGGTTAGCGAAAGTTTGTGTGTCTGATATATTTATTTAGGCTCATTCTCCAATGCTAGGCCTCATTTAAATGATTCCTGAGCTTTTTAATGCATGTTTTGAACTAACTAAAGGCCTGTCAATCAGCTTCTTCCCTTTGGAGCTTTGCACTGGGCTGGTTATCTGCTGGTAGATGACTAACTTTTAGTGACTTCATTCATTCTGATTGATTAATGCGTTACTCTGACCTCTGACGTGGCGGCAGGATCTCATTAACATATATTGACGCTCATTATAATGACTTAAAGGGCAGCTAATATGCAAAACTCGCTTTTATATGGGGTTTACCCCAGTTGTGTGTCAGATATTTGTGAATCTACATGAATTAATCTATTGTTTATAATCAGACTTGATGAATGAAACACTTCGATTGACGTTCTCCCTTTCTATGTGTCATCAGAAAGGGAAAGCCCCGCCCACTAGTGCCCATCTCTCCCTCATTACCATAAACAGCAGCCCTGAGTGAGAAGCAGCCGCCTGTCCATTAGCCATTAGTGTTTAAGCTGCTGAAAATAATGTCAGCATAGACTAAGAGGATTATAGATGAGGAGTTTTAGATGAATGGCGACATAGACTGACAGAAGCATGAAGCACATTTGCATGTGTAGCTCCGCCCTCTTTTAAAAAAAGCCTGATCTCATTTGCATTTAAAGTGACAGTCACCAAAACGCCACAATTAAGCCTGAAAGGGTCTGTTTCCGAGAGCTAGAGAACATTACTTGTGTGCTATTTTGAGCTGAGATTGAAACACACACACACTCTGGAGACATCAGAGACGCATCTTGTGCATAATAGGACCCCTTTAATTTTAGAGGAGCTCTTCATATTAGATGTTCAGAGACAGTTTTGTTAACATGGATCTGTTGGATTTGCAGGGATATCTGGAAAGAGTCAGATTCTCTTCGCATTGGTGTTCACCACTAGATATCTGGATCTTCTGACCTCCTTCATTTCCTTGTACAACACCAGCATGAAGGTAAAGTTCATCTGTGTGTGTGTTTGTGTGTGTGTGTGTGTGTGTGTGTGTGTGTGTGTGTGTGTGTGTGTGTGTGTGTGTTTGTGTGTGAGTTGCAGAATTTGCAGGTATATTTCAGGCATTGTCCATTCATTTTGGTTAAACTTGCACGATGCACAGTTGAAGTCAGAACTATTCCACAGGAAGTGACATCGCATACGGTCTAGTCGCAGGAGTTCAAATATTTCAATGCATCCGCAGCTTAATTCGGATCCGATTTTTCCGCATACGGAGATAATCGGAACTCTACGCAACTCCCGGACTTCTCTCCATTGGAAATGAATGACTTCCTGTTTGTTGCTTTTCGTTTGTTGTGTGCAGTGGAAAGGAGGCTTTAAAGCAGGCATGTCCAAACTCGGTCCTGGAGGGCCGGTGTCCTGCAAAGTTTAGTTTCAATCCCAATCAGACACACCTGTGCTGATATGCAGGGTGATATGACTGTGGCTCAAAGATGAAGATTTGGCTTATCCGCAATGTTTGCATGTGCTCATGTATTAAGTACCCATAGATATATACACTAGATATCGCATAGGGACCCTGAGCATGCGTCAATAGCGCCGCCACATTGGTACAGTGCTCCCAGGACAAATGTCATTCATCCGCACTAGACAAGACAGTGTTACTACGTGAAGATGCGGGACTGTAGCGCTGTCTACGGGTGTAGTAACGAGCAAACAAAGAAAACAAAGCACAAAGGCAGAACATTTCATAGGTAATATTAAGTTTATTTCTGTTTTTGCATGTTCTGAACTTTTGTGCTAATCAGGTAACGTTATTGATGATGACAGTCACTTACTGCATTCACCATACGGCAAAGCAGCTCCAACTCACACTAAACACTCGGCTTATGCTAGTTTTGTTGAATAAAATCAGCAAACAAAGCAAAAGAAATATGACAACTGCCAGACACTTGTATTATTGTCGGCTAACGTTAGTGAAAGAGTCGTTTGGGGAATTCATTCACAAACGAATCGCTCCCTCTGTCAGTATGAGCAGTGAAAGCAGGAGAGGAGCTGTGTTTCAGGACATGATTAGATTAGATTTAACAGGGAGGGTGGATAGTACATTTCTGTACACACAAACACAAGCTTTTGTCAGGAATGGCCGTGCGGTCACTGATCCATCAATGTAGAAAAGTGATGTAAAATTAAAATTTTCGGAATTAGAAAAAAAACTAATTACATACTAACATCCAGGAAAACTCCCGATCATAGATATATGTGTTTATGTGTATATCTCTGGCTTTGGATGGCCACAGTCCTCCACTGTACCTTGGTCCCGCATTCATTTCAAAGGAGCGCTACCCTGTAGCAAGATGGCGGCGCTATTGACGCATTCCGTCCAATAGACAACAATAGGCCAGGCGACATCTAATGTATATATCTGTTAAGTATCATAGTAAGTATCATAGTAAGTAACTGTTGTTTTGTTCCTCGTGCAGGTCATCTATATCGCATGTGCCTACGCTACAGTTTACCTGATTTACGCTAAATTCAAGGCAACATATGATGGGAACCACGACACTTTCCGGGTGGAGTTTCTGGTGGTGCCGGTCGGAGGTCTGGCGTTTCTCGTCAACCACGACTTCTCTCCTCTGGAGGTGAGACGGAAAACCTGTGCTTTTCTTTACTGTTGTAGCTGTGAAATAACTCTGGTCATTCAGCGTAGTGATATGGAACTATAAAGCACTGTAAAGTTCCTGCCGGAACTACTAGCAACATGCTAATTAATACTAACATTATATTAAAAAATTCCTACTAGAAACATGCCTGCCTAGCAACTACTCTGAACACCTTAGCAACATCGTAGCAACCATGCTAACAACATGTTAACTCCTACTAGAAACATGCTAATTCAAACAAGAACCATGTTAATGTTTACAACAACTTAAAACACTCTAACCACCAGCTACAATCACTCAGTACACCCTAGCAATTGCCCAACAACACCCTAGCGACCATATAGCAATACCATTGCAACCACTATGAACACCCTAGCTAATACATAACAACACCCTAGTAAATGCCTAGTTACACCTTAAGAAAACCCCTAGCAACCACTCAGAACACCTAAGCAACTACCTAGCAACACCATAGCAACCATGCTAGCGATATGTTAACTACTACATAAACATGCTAATTAAAACTAGAACCATGTTATTTATATTAGCAACCACTTAGCTAACCACCACCTAGCAACCACTCTCAATACCCTTGCAACTGCATAGCAACACCCAAGTAAACGCCTAGCAACAATTTAGGAACCTCCTAGCAACACCATAGCAACCATGCTAACAACATGCTAATTCCTACTAAAAACATTCTAATTCATACTAGAAACATGCTAATTCAAACTAAAACCATGTCAATTTATGTTAGCAACCTCCTAGCAACCACTTAAAACACCCGAATCACCACCTAGCAATCACTGAAACAACCAAGCAACTGCAAAGCAACACTTTAGGAACCTCCTAGCAACCACTTAAAGCACCCTAACAACCACCTAGCAATCACTCAAACACCCTAGCAACCGCATAGCAACAGCAAAGCAACCACTCTGAATACTTTAGCAATGGCATTGCAACACTCTAGTAATTGCCTAGCAACACCTCAGGAGCCACCTAGCAACCACTCGGAATACATAAGCAACCACCTAGCAACACCATAGCAATCATGCTAACAAAATGCTAACTCGTATGAATAACGTGCTAATCCATAATCATGTTAATTTATGTTAACAACCTCCTAGCAACCACTCAGAACAACCAAACAAATGTACAGCAACACCATAGCAACTACTCTGAATACCCTAGCAATGGCAACGTCTTAGGAACCAATTAGCAACCACTCAGAACACCTAAGCAACCACCTAGCACCACCTAGCAATCACTCAAACACCCTAGCAACTGCATAGCAACACCTTAGGAACCTCCTAGCAACAACTTAAAACGCCATAACCACCACCTAGCAATCACTCAAACACCCTAGCAACGGCATAGCAACACCAAAGCAACCACCCTGAATACTCTAGCAATAGCATAGCAACACTCTAGTAATTGCCTAGCAACACCTTAGGAACCACCTAGCAACCATTCAGAACACCTAAGCAACCACCTAGCATCACCATAGCAACCATGCTAAGAACATGCAAGAGCGCTGCTGATGGCTTTCGTGTGTGTTCAGATCTTGTGGACGTTCTCCATCTATCTGGAGTCGGTGTCCATCCTCCCGCAGCTCTTCATGATCAGTAAGACAGGAGAAGCGGAGACCATCACCACTCATTATCTCTTCTTCTTGGGTCTGTACCGCGCGCTTTATCTCTTCAACTGGATCTGGCGCTTCTACTTCGAGGGTTTCTTCGACATGATCGCCATCGTGGCCGGCGTGGTGCAGACCATCCTCTACTGCGACTTCTTCTATCTATACGTCACCAAAGGTGAGGCTTTCAGTCTGAAGCGCTTCAAGCAGAAGAACACAATAACTCATCATCTGCCAAAGAGTTAATAAAATGACCAAACCGTTGTTTATTTCAGGAGTTTTATTATATAAATTGAATTAAATTGTATTCATTTATTTATTCATTTATTTTTTTATATTTGTAATATATATAAATATATTTTAATTCTATTTATTTTATTTGTATTTATTGTATATATTTATTGGTTTATTATTTTATTTATTTTTAATTAATTATTTTTTATTTTTATTTTTTATTGATTTTAATTATTTATAGATTTTATTTATTCATTTATTTTTAATAATAAAAAATATTTATTTTATTTATTCATTTATTTAGTTGTTATTTTTTAACTAATTACCGATCATAATAGTGTTGTTAAATGATTAAATGAAAAAAAAACTTATTAGATCGAAAAAAATATTTATTTATTCATTTATTTTTATATATATATATATATATATATATATATATATATATATATATATATATATATATATAATTTAATTTAATTTTTTTGTATTTATTTTATATATTTATTGGTTTATTAATTTTAATTCATTTATTCATATGTTTATTTATATTTTTTATTTTATTTTTCATTTATTAATTTAATTTTTTTTACTTTTGATTTATTTTTATAGATTTTATTTATTCAATTATTTATATATATATATATATATATATATATATTTTTTTTTTTTTTTATTATTATTCTATTTATTTTATTTGTATTTATTTTATATATTTATTGGTTTATTAATTTTAATTTATTTATTCATGTTTATTTATATATATATATATTTTTTTAATTTATTAATTAATTAATTTTTTTTCAGATTTATTTTTATAGATTTTATTTATTTATTTAGATTTATTTTATTTATTAATTTATAAATATATATATATAAATATAAATATATATATATATATATATATATATATATATATATATATATATATATATATATTGTTTTTGTTTTTTAATTCTGTTTATTTTATTTGTATTTATTATATATATTTATTGTTTTTTTTATTTTAATTTTATTTATTTTATTTTTATTGATTTATTGTATTTGACTTTATTTATTTATAGATTTTATTTATTCATTTATTTTTAATAAAAAAATTATTTAATTTATTTATCCATTTATTTATTTGTTATTTTTAACTAATTACCAAGCAATTAATAGTGTTGTTAAATAATTAAATGAAAAAAACTTTTTAGATCGAAAAATATTTTAATTTATTTATTCATTTATTTTTATTTATTTATTATTATTTTTATTTATTTTTTTGAGAGGTGCACAACATTAGGATCACAATCTAAGCAGCTAATTCTATCCTAGTAGATGTTGATCTGCTGTAAATGATGCATTTCTCCTTGTTTTTATTGTCAGTGTTGAAAGGCAAAAAGCTGAGTCTGCCGGCGTAAGAGAGAAGTCAATCAGGCTGGCGGTGCGGTGTGGGACGCGGGACCCCGAAAACCAGGACGAGGCCTGAGACGGAGGAAGAACCAGCAGATCCAGAGCTGGAACATCTGCAGGCCCCAACACAGAGTCCTGCTTTATGCCTCTCGCCCTACCCTTTTTTATTATTCTGTATAAAAGAAAACGTTTTCTACATGAACCGTGTGCTGCGATTGGACCGACGGCGTTGTAAGGGACTGATTCTTCTACTGATTTTGTTTAAGAGTATTTCGGAAAAGATTAAAGGAGCGTTTGTTGCTCTGTTGGAGAAAAGTGAATGGGGAAAAGTTTTGGCCTCAATTTCTTAATGTTTTTGTTGAAGACGCTCAGTTCTGCTTGTTTAATTAGGGTCGAACAGCACAATCTTGATGCCATGAAAGATGCAAAGAATGAAATTTGTACACATATTAGGAATTATGCCACTGTCTGTCGGCGTACAGTATTGACACTGCCTTTATCACTGTAAACCGCTTCTGAAGAACCAAAAAATAAACCAATCCAACGTTCTCACTCATTATTATTACTATTATTATTATTATTATTATTATTACTATTATTTTTATTATTATGCTGCAGTTTATTTTAAGGGTTGGTTAAATCTTCATTTAGTTTGCTTTGAGCCTTTTTGGTCCATTTTTTTATATTATTGTTGAAGGAATTTTTTTTTTACATACAATAAAACAATTAACGTTAGTTTCTTTTTTTGTAATGGTCACTTCACACCAAGAAGGTCGCTGGTTCAAGTCCCAGCTGGGTCAGTTGGTGTTTCTGTGTGGAGTTTGCATGTTCTCCCTGTGTTGGCGTGGGTTTCCTCCGGTTTCCCCCACAGTCCAAACACATGCGCTATAGGGGAACTGGGTAAGCTAAATTGTCCGTAGTGTATGAGTGTGAATGAGTGTGTGTAAATGTTTCCCAGTACTGAGTTGCAGCTGGAAGGGCATCTGCTGCATAAAACATATGCTGGATAAGTTGGTGGTTCATTCCACTGTAGCGACCCCGGATTAATAAAGAGACTAAGCCGAAAAAAAAAAAGAATGAATGAATGAATAGTTGATTATTATTAATAATAATAATATTATTATTAATGTTAATGGTAATAAAAGCAACAAGGATTAATAATTTCATTTGAAACTACATGCAGTAATTAATAAATATGTATGCAACAATTTTAATTTTTAAAAAAAAATTTAATAAATGCCGTCTTGATGAACTTAATCATTTTTATTAATTTTTGTAATAAAATTAATAATAAAAAAATAAATAAACTGACCCCAAATGTTTGACCGGTAGTGTAGATCAGTGGGTGAGTTTAATAAAATAATTGAATGTGCGTGTTGAGTATAATAGACGTTTGTTGCTTTTGTTAAAACCTCTTCTTTGTCGGTCGCAAATCTGTTTAAGCGCATTAAAGGGCAGCGCGTATATTAGCCTTACCCTGGAGTTTGTTCACCCTCCACCTATGGGCGGGGCATATATCAGCTCCCCTCTTTTTAAATAACAGCCAATAGCTGTTGTTTTATCACCACTCTGCCAGTGAGAGTGGTTGAGCTTGAGCACATCAAATTAAAAAGCCAATGAGAAGAAAGGGGTGGGGCATTTCAGACACCTGAGTGCATTTGATTGGGCAGAAGATTCGATGAGAAACTGCAGTATGAGGTGACGTCAAAAATATCCATTGTGGTCATACCTGGCAACCCTCCTGTTTTACCTGGGAGTCTCCTGTATTTCCAACCCATCTCCCGCCACCCTCCCGTTTTGTTATTTATCCCGGAAAACTTCCGTAATTTCAACCACCCCCTCGCAGTCCTCAGCAATTTGGTACGGTCTGTGAAACCCCCGGGTTGCCAACATTGGTAAATGGTATATCGGATCCAATGTATTGGTATATATTGGGTCTGATCGCAGCGGCGGCCCGAAACATGCTTCATAGTAGTTACAATCACCACAGTACACCTGGTTCACAACAATGTTATTCAGACACCTCACTTCCAACCCCGGTCTCCCGGATTTTCAGGGACAAATGTTGGCAGGTATGATTTAGACAGAAGAGATCAACTTCAAACAGGGTTATATTTAATAAATGTGATTTTTGTCACTGTTTTTGGAGCACACTAGATTGTAGACATCCTTAAATCTAATATACTGATACTAACATCTGAAAAAAGTCATTTAATTTCACTGGAGTTTTTGATAATACAGCTGATTTTTAATATACACCACAATTTGATCACAATTATCACTTTATTTTGCTATCAGGGGTTTTGAATTGGCTTTTGCAGGGGGACTCAAATAAGGGTTTTCTTGGGAAACAAAGGATGTTTGGAGAATAATACACAGCAATGCTCTATAGTATTTGTTCAAATAGACCTTACATTTGTAGAAAACTACAGTTTTGGGTCATTTGTTTATATTACTGTAATGAATGTGTTACCATAGCAACTGAATCACCACAACGGATTGATTATAGCTCTTTACTATCCAAAACACTACATATTTACTATAAATAACTGTAATATTTGATCATTTCAGCTATAAAGGTAGACTTATTAACTCAGACAAACGCAGAGCACGTAGTTTTTTAGTGAATAAAACGTTTATCAGAGCTACAGCGAGTGTCTGGTGGTTTTAGTGCCCAACATGATGAAATATTCTAATTATTTTAATTTACAGGTTCATTGTCCAATTGTGTATGTGCCTTGCTTAATATTTGCTATATTATATTCGTCAGTGCCATTATATATGTATATTCTGAACAGTAAAATTAATAAATAAATAAAATTACGGCTGAGCAGTGGGAGCTAGTGTCTCCTCAAATGTGTCCGGGTAAAGTCTAGAAGGGATACAGCTGCGGCCCGAAGTTTCGGTAAACAGTAGATGTTATCAAAATAGAATTAATGGGTAATTTAATAAATAATATCAATAATACTCGGTATAATTACTGTTTTGCATTACTGTGAGGGTTGGTGTAGAGGTAGACGTTAATAAATTATCATTTAATGAGCAATTTTAATAAATAATGTGAATAATACCTAGTATCATTACTGTTTTACATTTCAGTGATTGTTAGGGTTGTGGTAGGCGTTAATAAAATACAATTTAATCCGTAATTCAATTAATAATTCTCTTTTTATTTACTGTTTTACTTTATTTTGAGGCAGGGGTACGCGATTATACAATACAATTAATAAGTAGGTCAATTAGAAATCCTCGTTATAATGACCGTTTTAATTTAGTGTGAGAGGTAGATTTAGAGTTGGGGAAGGGGTAGACGTTAAAAAATACAATTAATGAGTAATTTAATAAATAATGTTCATAACTGCTACTCTCGGAACTGTTGTGCTGCCGAAACGTCTACTCACGGACACATTTGGTTGCTACACAGAAAAGGGAAAACAACAAACCCAAGCAGCTGCGGTTTGTCCTGTCAGATGTCAGTGAGCGATGCTAATGATACTTTCCCCCATGTCGTAATATTATAATCCGGAAATGGAGCGCAGGGTGGCGGGGAGATGGGCTTCAGGACGCCGCTGACCGGGAGTGTGTGCGATTTGTGATCATCTTTATCTTTATCTGTCGGGATGCCCGGACTGCTGGTGTTCGGGCGCCGGTGGCGGATCGCCAGTGATGATCTGGTGTTTCCCGGAGCCTTCGAGCTGTTTATCCGGGCTGTGTGGTGAGATTGAGATCAAAGTTCAGCTTATTTATCTTATTTATGGCCTTTATTTGCGATCGATATCCAGCTGTTGTGACATACTGTAGCGTTACCAGACATACGCCGATATTCGGTCATTCGATATATCGTGATATCGAACATTCACAATATTGACATCGTGGGGACTTCAAAATACCGCGAATAATTGTCATTTAAACTTTTAACAATACTGGGATTGTTGTATTTACAGTGTTTTTTCATAATGCTATGATTGATATCCTGCTGTTGTGATGTACTTTATCGTTACTCTGTAATTCGACATATCGGCATAACGAAAATTCACAATATTGATATCGTGGGGACTTCAAAATACTGCAAACAATTATTATTTAATCTTTTAAGAATGTCGAGATTGTTGTATTTGTGGTTGTTCATTATAGTACTAAATGCTGCAATTGAAATTCTGCTGTCGTGACATACTTACGGTAATTCGAAATATCGTGATAATGCACATTCACAATATTGATATCGTGGGGCTTTTAAAACAGTGCCAATAATTATTATTTGAACTTTTAGACATATTGAGATTGTTGTATTTACAGCTGTTGTTCATAATTCTGCGATTGATATTCTGCTGTTGTGACATACTGTAGCGTTACTACACATAAGCTGACCTTCGCTAATTTGATATATCGTGATAATGAACATTAACAATATTGATGTTGTGGACACTTCAAAAATGCAATTTATTATAAAACTTAAACATTTTCACGATAGTTTTCAAACATTGACCATTTTTCACATTCATCTATGACATTGTTAGTAAAGTTTGTACAGTAAATCTGTTGACATCAGTTAATGTAAGTAAAGTCAATGTAATGACGCCTACAAAAAAGCTTTTATTAATCTAAGCTGATGTTATTTTTTAGCTAATGGCTAATTTTGTATATAGCAATCAATACCAACAAGAAAATCTGATTCTGGGAGAAGCCTAGGAGGTTCTGGTATCAGAGTTCACCTTATTTCTCAACTTTATGGCCTTAATGTATGAGTGATATCCTGCTATTGTGATATACTGCACTGACTGATCCCTCGTGATAATTAGAGCCAGACAGAATGCACATTTTTAATAATAATAATAATAATAATAATAATAATAATAAATGTTCTTCCTGGTTGTCGAATCATCATATTACACATATTTCTGAAGGATCATGTTACAGCAAAGTTTGCAGTAATGAGGATGAAAATTCAGGATTAAATCTTAGTCAAAAATAACATTTTAAACTTCATTTAATAAGAAAATAGCTGTAATAATATTTCACAAATTTGGCAATTTTTCTATATTTTTGATTCAATGAATGCAGATTTGGTGAGCAAAATAAGCTTATTTTAACACATTAATACATTTACTTATCCCAAATGTTTATATATATAATATTTTAATTAAAATGTTTATATTCATTCATTTTCCTTTGGCTTAGTCCCTTTATTAATCAGGGGTCGCCATGGCGGAATGAACCGCCAACTTATCCAGCACATCTTTTACACAGTATATACCCTTCCAGCTGCAACCCAACATTGGGGAAACACCCATACACTCTTGCATTCACCACATCACTCTACGGTTAATTTGAGCTTACCCAATTCCCCTATAGCGCATGTGACTGTGGGGGAAACCGGAGCACCCGGAGGAAACCCACGCCAACACGGGGAGAACATGCAAACTCCACAATGAAACGCCAACTGACCCAGCTGGCACTCGAACCAGAGACCTTCTTGCTGTGAGGCCACCATTACAAAAAAAGAAACTAACGTTAATTGTTTTATTGTATGTAAAAAAAAAATAATTCCTTCAACAATAATTTAAAAAAATGGACCAAAAAAGGCTCAAAGCAAACTAAATGAAGATTTAACCAACCCTTAAAATAAACTGCATAAAAATAATAACACAAGGAGAACATGCAAACTCCACACAGAAACGCCAACTGACCCAGCCGGGGCGCGAACCAGCGACCTTTTTGATGCAAGGCAAACATGCTACCCACTGCGCTACTGTTATGCCAACGTTTATATATTATAAATATATATATATATTATTTGGCAATGGTGATGAGAAATTTGCAGTTTTTATTTGAATAATTGTCTGTGAAAGATGTTCTCGTTTAATCTGAGAATTATTAATCATTAACATTTTTGAAATGACTGCAACTTAATGCAGTTTCTCACAAATTAACAAAAACCGTCCAAGTTTATGATGCCTACAAGACATAATTCCTACCGTGAAACAACATGCATTTCATTTCAAATAAAATAAATGAATGACTCAAGATCCTTAAACTAAATGACACGAAATATTATAAGTTGTGCAAATAATAATAATATGAAAAATTTAATAATTTGGATTTTAATGATCTTAAATATTTTAATTAAAATTAATTTCCTTCTCATAAGGTTCATGAATTATGAGGAATATCATTTTACATAAACATGGGCTGGATGCAATATTTCACTATTACAGACATTTCTGTGACAATGTTCTGCTGTATTTTATTGACATGTCTTGTGTTGTTTTTGCATCGTTTACCTTCTAGTTATGTTTTATAATTAGTTTATACTAGTGTAAAGCACTTTGGTCCACCTTGGTTGTATTAAGGTGCTTTATAAATAAAGCTTGAGTGATTGACTGATATTATTCCAGAGCTCTGTACAGATGTAAACAGTCTAGTTTTGTCCTGCTTTTTTTATTTTTTAGGTGGATCGTGACTTTAGTGGTTTACACGAACCATAAGGGCAGCTTCGACTGTAAGGGTGGAGCATATCTGCAGTACTACCTGCTGGTTCTTCTGTTTCTACTGGCTGTCATCATCTTGACTCTGTGTGCCATCGTTTATGTCAGCGCTCAAGGTGTGTGTGCTTCACCCTGCAAACCTCACATGCTTTCTTTATCCGTCAAGCATCATTCGCTTTGAAATAATATTATTGCGCTTACCCTATTGGCAAATCACTGTATTTACACGTCAGTCCTTGAGGTTTAATGTACAGGAATGATGTGTTTCAGGAACCATAATGAATCAGGGTCCTCGGCGCTCCATGCCGCTCCTGGTGTACCTGCGAGCCGTCCTGTATTTCCCAGAATTCGTTTGGGCATGTCTGGGGGCCGTCTGGGTTTCTGACAACAGCTCCGGATGCCAGCCAGAGGAGGTTGGGGCCGTCATTGGGGCTGTGGTGTCCAGGTAGGGACATACTGGCAATTTGATTAAAAAATACAGTAATTAATAAACATTTCTGGCTAGTATGAAGTTGATTGTAGTCACTAGTTAAGACATTTATGATGTTTATGACCACAAACAGGTGTGAATAATTATTAAATAGCATTTTTAGGGGGTGAACTGTCTCTTTAAAGTGGCTAAATTAGAGCAAAATGTCTTGGTTAAAGCTCTATTGGCATCAAAGCTCTATTGGTTGCTGTGTTCAATATCAGCAAGATGTCTAATAAGTGTGTAGTTTCTGATGGTGTGTGTTGTGTATACTCAGCTGGGTCATCCTGCTGGCGATGGCGGTGGGTGTGCTGGTGGTGTTTGACCCATTGGGTAGTCCTGGGCCGAGTCGGGGTCTTCGTGATCTTCAGAGCAGTGAATCGTCTCAGCTCTTCTCCTCAGCTCAGTCTGTGGCGTCTCGAGTGTGGGAGAACCGGCTGAGGCTGCTGTGCTGCTGTCTGCCTCAGGATGATAACCACCGCGCAGCTTTCTCCAGCATCGCACAGCTCGTCAGCGGATTCTTCATGGTCGGAGAAATAACTATATGCTTTTCTCGTTCATTCATTTGTTTGTTTCATATAATTTATTTGTTAATTTTAATTAATTAATTAATTTGTTTAATTCATTTTATTATTATTATTTTTTTTATTGTTCTTATTTATTAATAATTAAATTATTGTTATTATTATTATTAGTATTAATATTAGTAGTGGAAGTAGTAGTAGTATTATAATTAATTTTTAATTTTATTTATTTTTTATTGATGAATTTAGTTAATTTTTCATATTATTATTATTATTATTATAATTATTATTAATTTTTTTCTCTTACATTTTTACTATTCTATTCTATACTATTCTTTCTATTATTTAATAATTATTTTATTATTATTATTATTATTATTACTATTGTAATTAAATATTATTTTATTTATGAATTTATTTAATTGTAATATGATTATTGTTTATTTATTTGATTATTATTCTTATTATAATTACTATTTTCTCTTACGTTTGTATTATTTTTGTTAATTAATTTCGTTGTTATTGTTATTATTAATATTACTACTATAATATATTTAAATTTAATTTATTTTTTATTTATGAATTTTGTCAATTGTAATAATATTTTATTATTAATATTATTTAATATTTTCTCTACCATTTTAATATTATGTATTAATAAATGTCATTATTATTACTATTATAATTTATATTTTATTTTAATTATTTTTATTTATGAATTTGGTAAATTGTAATTTTATTTATTTTATTATTATTATTATATTTTCTCTTACATTTTATTTCAATCATATTATTAATTCATTTAATTATTACTATTATACTTTATTTTAATTTAGTTTTTTATTTATAAATTTATTTAATGGTACTATTATTATTGTTTATTATTATTTTCTCTTACATTTGTATTATTATTTATTAATTTATTTCATTGTCATCATCATCATTATTATTATTATTATTATAATGACTATTATGATTTATTTTAATATTTTTTTTAATTTATGAATTTAGTTAATTGTAATAGTATTACTATTTATGTTACTATTATTATTATCATTATAATTTTTTCATTGTTTGTTGTTCAAACTAAACGCTATTAGCTGTTTTTTTTTTAGAAAGGGGAGGAGCTACTCTATGCCCCACCCTCTTTTCGTATTGAAGTTGAGATTACCCCAATAATCGAATAAAAACGCGCATTTCAAAGCACTTGACGAGACCTTTAATGTAATCTAATCTCTCTCTCACTGGTTTTCAGGACACAGATCTGGTTCCCAGTGATATCGCTGCTGGTCTCGCTCTTCTGCATCAGGAACAGGACAAGATGGAGCAGTGCAGAGACCCGGATGAAGTGCTGACACACAGTCCGTCCTCTCCCATAGTGAGTCTACAGTCTCAGCTCTATTACTGACTTATTACTTACTGACAGCTCCTTTATATGATTAGCACTGCTTGTGTGTATCGCCTCTTCTTGTTGTATCACAGAATGCCTCCATATCTTGATCATAATGATATAATATTTCACTAGGAATATAAATATATATGCTTATATGCAATGTTCAGCACAACATAGGAGTTTTACATTCATATTTCCTCCAGGATGCTTTACAATGATATATTTGTAATATATCTAACAAAAAAACTGAAGATCACAGTCCAAACATTAGCACGTCCAATTTAATATGTAGGAGAAAAATATTAAATACAATTTTAATGAACAGTAAAAATCAACAGAAACAAAAAAATTGTTAAAAATTAGTAGGTTTTTTAAATTTTTGTTTGAATTTAAATCTGTTATCTTTCTATTTCTAAAGACCAAAAGCTTATTTCATTGGATATAAGTGTTTAATAAATCTATTTTGTTCAAATGCATTAAAAATGATTGTATTCACTGATGTATATTCACTGAGAAATTTTTAAAAAATATTAATTTTATTATTATTTTATTAAATATTTAGTACCGTTAGTACTATCAATGTTATATTATAATAATATAAAATCATAAATTACTAAATAATATTAAATATAATGTTAAATAGGTGGCAACACGGTGGCTCAGTGGTCAGCACTGTTGCCTCACAGCAAGAAGGTCGCTGGTTTGAGTCCCGGCTGGGTCAGTTGGTGTTTCTGTGTGTAGTTTGCATGTTCTCCCCGTGTTGGCATGGGTGTCCTCCAGGTGCTCCGGTTTCCCCCACAGTCCAAACACATGCGCTATAGGGGAACTGATCAACTACACTGGCTGTAGTCTCTGAGTGTGTGTGTGTGAATGAATGTTTATGGGTGTTTCCCAGTACTGGGTTGCAGCTGGAAGGGCATCCGCTGTGTAAAACATATGCTGGAATAGTTGGCGGTTCATTCCGCTGTGGCGATCCCTGATAAATAAGGGACTAAAACGATAGGAAAATGTATGAATGAATATTAATAAGTAATAAATGATTAATATTCATTCATTCATTCATTCATTCATTTTCGGCTCAGTCCCTTTATTAATCTGGGGCCACCACAGCGGAATGAACCACCAACTAATCCAGCACATTATTACGCAGCGGATGCCCTTCCAGCCGCAACACATCTCTTTGAAACATTCACTTACACACACACACTCACACACTACGGACAATTAACTCCTACCCAATTCACCTGTACTGCATGTCTTTGGCCTGTGGGGGAAACCGGAGCACCCGGAGGAAACCCATGCGAACGCAGGGAGAACATGCAAACTCCATACAGAAACACCAACTGACCCAGCCGAGTCTCGAACCTGCGACCCAGTGACCTTCTTGCTGTGAGACGACAGCACTACCTACTGCTATATAATATTGGGGAGATATCAGTAGAGTGTTCGGATGCAGTGATCACTCGTACTCCAGTTTTCTGAATATTCTGTTGTTCTGCAGAGGGAGGATCTGGAGCAGGAGCTGGAGAAATCTGCTCATTATATGCAGTTTGCAGCCGCAGCGTACGGATGGCCACTGTACGTCTACTCCAACCCGCTCACTGGAGTCTGCAAGCTCAGCGGGGACTGGTGTGTGTGTGTGTGTGTGTGTGTGTGCATCACAACATAAACACGACACAATAGAGAGATGCAGAATTGCAATGTGTGTGTGTGTGTGTGTGTGTGTGTGTGTGTGTGTGTGTGTGTGTGTGTGTGTGTGTGTGTGTTTCAGCTGTGGCAGCCGGCATGCAGAGTATGATCTGGTCGGAGGAGACGCTCTGGGCTGTCATTTCACCTCCATATTGCAGAGCACCGGCCTGCAGTACCGAGACTTCATCCACATCAGCTTCCACAACCAGGTCAAATACTGCTGAAGTACAGGCAATTACTGCAACAGACAGATCATGCAGCGAATGGTGTAATAATAATAATAAACAACATTCAATCTAAAACTGGTAATGCATAATTAAAAAAACTTTTGTAATTTTGCAGTAAAATTAAAAGCAAAATATAATTAAAATAAAGTATGTGTATTTAGTAAAAAGTAAAGTGTGTGTCTATATATATGATTATTTTTGATATATATATATATATATATATATATATATATATTTATTTATATAAAAAAATACATATATATATATATATATTTATATATATATATATATAAAAAACAGTAAAGTAAATATATAAGTCTTCATGGAAACTATTCATACATAAAATATAAAAGATAAAATATTATATAGTTATCAAAAATAAAATACATGTATACATACATACACACACACACACACGTACACACAAACATTTGTTTTTCATATTTTTTATTGCATTCAATGTACAAAAATAAGCAAATTTTTTTTTTAAAACTATAAACACAATGTTTTTATTCTGTAGATCTACGAAGTCCCGTTCTTCGTGGCGTTGGATCATAAACGAGAAGCAGTGCTTGTTGCTGTGCGAGGAACTCTGTCACTGAAGGTGAGATCATTACATGTATATTAGTTGTATACACTGTTAGTATGCACTGAAGTAGTGTGTTTGTGTGTGTGTATATGTGTGTTTGTGTGTGTGTAGGATATTTCCATAAACAAATCCCACTCCTGAGGTTTAGCCATCATTCCTGCTTTCAGTTTCATTTTCGTATCAGCCATTTCACAATATGCGTTTAAAATCTCCACAATATTTTAATACATTTTATTTTTATATAAATTTTAGATGTTTTTAATCTTTTAAACACAACTTTTTTCACCATTTTGGAGCTTATTGAAATCTTTAAAAATTACATACTGATAGTAGTATCTTAAAAAACCTTTATTTTAATTTCACAGGAGCTTTAAGGGGACTATTATTTTGTTTATTTTGCAGGATGTTTTGACGGATCTCTCGGCTGAGTGTGAGAATCTGTCTGTTGAAGGAGTTTCAGGATCCTGCTACGCTCACAAGGTGAATAAATCATAACAAAAAGAAATATAACCTGCCTTTTTGTAAAAGAATTTTGCATTTTTTGTCTTTATTTTCTTGTTTATTTAAGTACAATTTAATTTTATAATTAACAATTATAATACAAATGTTTATGTGTGGGTTCAGGATTTGATTGATGTAAATGATCAATATTGTTTTATCACTCAGTGTACATTTGTGCACTAAAAAAGTTAAATAAATAAATATATATATATATATATATATATAAATGTTAAATATATATATATATATATATGTATTTATAAAAAAAATATATATATATTTATATGTATTTATATATATATATATATATATATATATATATATATATATATTCAATAAGTGTGACATAGCATTATATGAGTGTAATGAGCAGTGTGATAATCTGCTGTCCACACCGCAGGGCATCTCTCAGGCCGCACACTTCATCTACAAGAGACTGGTGCATGATGGGATACTGAGCCAGGCCTTCAGCATCGCACCTGTGAGTGTGTGTTTGGTGTATGTAATGCGGTTATATGTTATGTCTGTGTAATTGAGTGTGTGTTAGTGTTAGTGTTAGTGATGGTGTGTGTGTGTGTTGTGTTTGTGTCATGAGTAATGTCCGTTGTGTGTGTTGGTGATGGTGTATGTGTGTGGGTTGTGTTTGTGTCATGAGTGATGTCTGTTGTGTTAGCGATTTTGTGTGTGTGGATCATTAGTGTTGTGTGTGTGTGTGTGTGAGAGAGAGTTGTATGTGCATCATAAGTGTTGTGTGTTTGTGTTAGTGATTGTGTGTGTGTGTCTGTGTGCAGGAGTATAAGCTGGTGGTCACTGGACAC